CCTCACTTAGGCAATATGGCAGGATGCGAGCCAATCGTCTCCATGCTTCTTCTCAATCTACATGACCCCACTGCTACCCATTTCCTGCAGCACGTACAAAGAACTCTTTTCCCAGCTAAACTAGGTTATTGTCATCCATATGAGGAAATTCCATAACCCTTCTTGGTTGAATAAGTTAAGTTAAGCATTCATTCATTTATTCTTCTGTGACTTCATTCTGATTTAAGCAATGAAGACAATTACAATGCAATCCTCAAATGTGCTTATACATTAATTAAACTTGGTTGCTTCCCTGCTAATTAAGCCATGGATGCTGTAATGTAAATGTGGAAGAAGGCAGGCTGCACGACTAAAGGACTATTTGTCCATCTTTCAAATAAGAAAGGGCAGGTCGTGGGGAGCTATTAAAGGAGATCGACACCCAGAGAATTGCGAAGGATCCTGAGAAATACAGCAGTGCTGCTGCCAGATTCTGCTTGTTGACCTGATTATCGGTGTTAACTAATAACCTGTCTGACAGAGAATCACAGGCCCGCCGTGCACAAATGTTCATGGCACAGGGAACAGGAGATGCACTCCAAAACACACCCACCAAAAGGTTTCACGCTCAACTTTTAGGCCTGCAAATGTTTCTATCAGGATGGAGGCACCCGGGAAATAAATAATTAGGGTAAAACTGTGTTGGGTCTTCACTGCTCTCTGGCAGCAGGAAACCTTGTGGCCAAAGACACCTCTAACACCAGACTGACCGGTGTCTTGCCCCCCCCTCCCCCCTCCCCAGGAGGCCGCGGTGCGCCGGTGCGTTCAGCATGGCCGATTCTGAAGATCCAATCTCACTAAGGCGTGTCGGGAGAAATGGACGCACAAAAAGACACTCTGGGCCGTTTCCCTCCTGACAGCTTTCTGGGGGAAAACCGGAAAGGAAGACGAATGAATAGAGGAAGCATGAGGCCTGGAGATCTCAATGGCTTGTGAAAGGCATCTGTCAATGGGCAACTTAGGGAGCAGATGAATGCGTCCCGCCTCCAGCAGCCCCTATCAGGCCTGCTATTTGACTAAACTGTTTAGGCACCAGGCCATTGTTGTTATGGCAACACAAAATGACCAATGGGTAAATCGGGCCCACGGTCACACCGACCAACCACTTTGCACAACGCAGTACAAAACCATCCAGTTTCCAATAATGCTAAACTAAAAAATGCATTTGAGAACTAAACCATTAAGTCAATAAAATATTATTGGTGGGTGGAGGGGCAGGACAGTAATTGCTGTATGAACAGCCTGTTAACCACCAAGGGTCCCTAATTGCAAGTCAACCTCTGCAAAGTTGTTTTTATAAAAATTTAATTAAAAAATCATTAGGCGCAGCCCATGTGATAATGCGAAACACACTTACATTCTAATTCATAGCCAGCAGGCACTGGCCAGATGCCCAGGCCAGGACTAAATGTGAAGGAAAGGGAAAAAATCTACTGAATAATTTCATGCGTCATGATCCTTTACATTAAGATAATACTTTCACAGAGTCAGGGCCGGATTAATATTAGAGCGATTCTAAACGGTGTGGTGAGAAAGGGTCCTGACTACACTACCAGTCGCTACGCTACCAGTCGCTACGCTACCAGTCGCTACACTACCAGTCAAAAGTTTTTGCACACACTGAGGTTTTCTGCATTGGCATGTCACTCGCTTAACATTTACTAAAAATGCTCTCAATATTCTTTGCTAACAAATATATTTACAGTACAGTATATTCACCATTATTAGCATGAAAATGTCATATCTTTGAATCATCGAAGTAACCTCCTCTAGCAGTTATAACGGCAGAGAAAATTCGAGGCATTCTTTCTACAAGGGACATTAAATACTGCTCTGTTTCATGGGATGAAACAGGTAACTAGTGCATTTAAAGTTAAAGGACAGCCTAGAGTTTGACTGCCATCACCACACATCCAGTTAATAGGATGTCAGACATGCACTGTTACATACTCTTTCCATGTTATAAAGGAAACTTATTTTATCTGACTTATATTTTCATCTATAGTTGTTCACTCAACTTTCCAATCCTTAAAAATAAAGAATCAGCACTTTATGAAATAAATGGAAAAGTGGTAAAAACCTGTGATGTGCACAGACTTTTGACTGGTAGTGTGTGTGTTTTTATTATTATATAGAAAAGAAATTACTTGAATATTGCAAGCAAGAATTCACCTTCGTCTAAATATTTGCTGTGATATTAATGACAGTGAACTTCATGTTAAACGACGGAAAGGTGCCTGATAATGAATCCAGAGAAACTGAAAGCACACGCCCGCCTTATAATTCTCCTTTTATTTTTTTTTGCTTGACAGGCGACAGCAGGGCGAGGCCCTTGGTAACGACACTCTGCTGAAAAGGCCCACCATATGGTGAGTCAGTGGGGTAGCCTGTTATCATAAGCACCGTGGCAATATGGGTAATCAATTAGAGAGGGGATTTCTAACGAAAGCTGAGCCGCGCGAATCACGCCCCACGTCGGCAGTCGCCACTGACATACACCCACTCTCTGCTAGCCCATGAGCGGAAAATGATGTGACCTCCTTACATGCGTACCTCCCTCTGCAGGTCTATAAAAGAACTTGATGGGCGCTCTGGGGGGGGGGGGGGGGGGGGCTCAGCAGTTTTAATGGAAACATTAGGGAAACGTTGCCTGGGGTGATGTTGGCTGGACAGAGGTGCCTCGATGCAGGGGCCACATGAATATGCTTCTGGATGCAGTAAATATGAGCTGGTGGTTTTAGGCTTTTCACTTCTGTCTTTGGGAAGGATTTTTTTTATTCAGTCCTGGAACGATTTTGATTCTACATTAATTTAAGATGAATTACAGAGACTCATATGGAAACTAAATGAACAGATATGTGCTTGTTGTGGTTTTTTCCTTTAAGGCTCTGAATTATTTAAAGGAAGGAACACACATCCTGAGTCGCGGCACACGTCCGGTCCGCATATGTGCCGGCCGGGTTAACGCCGGATTCAGACACCAATTCCTGGCTCGCGAAGAGAAAAATCGGGTGACGGGAAGGTGAGGAGGAACCAGCGTCTGCGAGCTTGCGTCCGGGGCCAGCGGACTCCCGCGGCGCCATCCGAAAGGACAGACGATAGTCCATTAGCGGGCACGGCGGGGAGCAGGGCGGGGACCACGGCTCGGGCCGGGGGCCGGGGTACCGAATGGGAAGCGGCCCTGTTCTCCCCGGAAAGAAGGAGGGGAAGGCAGAGGAGCATCAGGGAGCGGGTGTCGTCTGGATAAGAGGGGAGTGTGTGGATTAGGAAGTCTCCCTGTCCTGCCATAGAGGGGGACGATAAGAGTAAATGCACGCATGAACGGGCACTCTCTGGTCATGTCGGCCTGCCGCCCAGGCCTGTGTGGCCTGAATGGGGAATGAGGCTGGGAGGCTGTGAGGGGCTGGGGCAGTAACCTGGGCCGGCTGCCGGGCTGGGGGGTAATTGCAGTCCTGATGCAGCTCTGGCCTCAGCGACAAGTAATTACATCCTTAAAAGGCCCTTAAAAGCGACCCAAGCGCTGCCAGGTTTTTTTAACCCCGTCTTTGTTGTTCTTTTTCCTGGGGTATAAATGGCCGCGCTGCCGGTCCCGTGTGTCCTGAAACGAGCTACATCTCCACCGAAGACGACCCGAGCTGGGAGTGACGGGTCGGCCTGCCGGGCCGAATCGGCGACGGTGCCACCCGCCTGCCCCACATGCCGAACACGCCGGCGGACAAGACGGACGTACCTGCAGATTCAGAGAAATAGCTAGAAACACTCTGTTCAGTGTCCGTTGCTTAGTTTTCACATCAGTTGCTGTTTAGTTGGTTATTAAATAAATCATTTATTTCATATCAGTTTATTAAATGTTGAACGATGTGCCGCTGCGATTTCCACCGATGTCTTTGCAGGTATGTTAGGTAACTTTAGTACTCAGTAAACAAAAGGAAAGGTGAAATGTTTGATAATCACCTTAACACTTATATCATACATACATACTGTGCATGATATACTACAAGGACCGATGGAAAAATTTTGGCAGAATAAAAATGTGTCTTTGTCATTGTAATAAGTCATATAGTGGTCGTGTTCAACAAAATATCTCCTAGGAATGTTCTGGACTGAAAGCTGATATCATCATTAATTATTAGGAGCATTATAAAATTATGAAATAATTACAAATATAATAGAACTGAATTAAATGAGTGAATTTATTATGAGGATTTGGATAGGGCAAATTTTAACCCTCCCCCCCCCCCACCACCAATCAAAATGGGTGGATAATACACACATCTCACAGGGGCCCAGTCAGTCATATGCAGCATCCTCTCACCTACCCGCTGTCTTTCTGACATCCCAGGGGGGAGGGACCTATGTCATGCCGGGGGGGGTTATGGGCACTCATAGCCAGGTTTTCTCCTTTCTCACACACCGCAACATACTTCAGCTATTTCGATGGGATGTAAATTAGATTGCAAATTATGTTACATTGGGTCAGAATGCAATTTGCATAAATACTTGAATTAATGTACCTGAACATCAAAAGCACAAAGTAAATTCTGTGGAGGTTCCTTATCACGCATCCTGCTCTAGAAGACGAAGCGCTGCAGTAACCATGGAAGCAGTGGCTAAGCTAAACCTAAGCTAACCTCGATAAAACAGCATTTAATAAACACCCAAATAAATGCTTAGAGCTAACAGTCATGTTGCAGGGGGCCGAGAGGGGCATCACTTATTCTGCTAATAATTATGCTCCCTCTTTGTTAAATCCATCGGCCGTACAGCAAAAATAACAATATATCATATAAATAATAACAAAACAAAAAAGGCCTTCAAATGGAACGCGCCTCTTTGTATGCCGCAGTCAGCAGAAAACATCAATCCTGCCATCGCGGCCTGGCCTGTTGCTGGGCGGCAGACGGCCATGAGGACGGTGTCTGATTAGTAAATACGCGCATATTTCCAAATCGTATCATTTGAAGTGAGCTTTTTAAGCTGTTCTTTACTTTTTTTTCCCGCAAAATTACAACCCTGTTCGAGTGTTTCCCAGGATAGTATCAGCTTGAATTTTTCTGCAGTGCTCACTTATCGGCGAGGTCACTAGCTAACACTGATTCCCTAGTAGCTCTTTCTTTTGTTCGTTCGTTCGTTTTCTTTACACCCTGTGGGTCACGCGGGGCCAGAGCCGGCTACGGGGACGCTGTCTGGCCTGTACCTGATAGCTATGTTAACACACCCCAGAAATTCGCATAACAGCAACAGCAGCAATCCTGTCCCGGCCACAAAAAAGTCCCTGCAATAATTAGCGAGTGACTTTTATTTCTTAATTGCCGTAAATGTAGCATAATGGATTAGTCTGAGTGCGGCTGGCACCGGCTCGCGTGAGCTGAAGACCTTCCACTGGGAAGCTATCTGAAGCCGTCTTATTAGCTCTCAGGGTCTTATTAGCGTTCAGGGTCTTGTAGCTACCTGTACGACATGGCGTTCAGGGTCTTGTAGCTACCTGTACGACATGGCGTTCAGCTGCTGAGCAGTAGTGTTAGTATTTCTGGCACATTCCCCATGCTTTAAATGCCCCCCCCCCCGCCCCGGCCCCCTTCCCCGAGGTGCTTTTAAACACCTTCAATCACACGGTGGTTGACATTCTGTTATCTGTCGGACCAGAAATTACAGTTGTTGCCGAGCGAGAGTCGCTAAAATAAAACATGGAAACTGTAGGAGATTACCGGCGACCCGACCAGGTGCGTATTTAAAATGGATCTCGATATGCACCCGCGATACGTCTTGGGCCTCGCCGCCGGCCGCGCCCTGCTGTGAATTCCGCCTCCATCATTTGCCGCCTCCCAGACCTTTCAAGTCACTTTTTTTTGAGCATCGCTCTGCCAGGCCGGTCCTCCAGGGGCACAAAAGTAAAGTCAGATTTCCAAGCTTAGATTGAAAGTCTTCTCTAAACAATAGAATCAGGCGAAGAGTGAATGGGGCTGAATGGCCTATTTATACCTGCTTAGCCTTTTGAAATTATTAAAAAAAAAAAACAGCATAGGTCTTGGGTTTAGCTTTCCGGCCAGGTCTGTAAATGGCTTTTTCATGAGCCTAATAGGAAATTATACGTTATTATGTTCCGGGCACCTGACACACTGATTATAAAATGATAGAACACAAAGACAAAAAAAAAAGAAAAACAAATGTGTAGGAACACACTGATTTATTCTGAAAAGAAATACATTTTAAATTCATTATTCTTTCAATAGGCAATATACACCTCATTACATTAAATGAAAAATAGATTGTTTTCCTTTCTCTCATCCCACCAGTAGAATCCTTTGAAGAACCAACATATTCTCCCTGTTTTTCATTCTGTCCCAGATGGCCACCTGGAAAAAGAGAAGAAAATGAAATAGAGTGACGTGGCGAAACAGGCCCATCTATTTCAAACCATCTTGAATGTTGAACAGATACAACAAAGATTAAATCTAATCTAAAGATAGTCAGTCTCCGCATAAAGTATTTAACACGCGGCATCAGATACACCAGGGCACGTTAGGAGCCAGCCAGCAGTGCCCCCTCATTCCCTGCCCCCCCCCCCCCTACGAAACGCTGGAAGACGACAAATGCATTTAATCTCCCAGATGCCGCATTTACAATCTTTCCCCTTTCAGCCACTTTGGAAGACAAAGCATGAGACATTACTCTACTTCCAGGGTGGCAGAGATCATAAATTAAGCACAGACGAGTCAGTACCAGTCAGAACAAGCAGAATTCTTCCTTCAAAACCTGCGCCTTAATTTATACATTTCCATTGGAATACTGGGTACCTTTTAGGTTAATTATACTTTTATAAGCTCTCTCCATTATCGCTTTCAAACAAGCGGTACTCTATCACAGGCAGTTACAGCAATTTTACATTCGCAGACTCTTGGCATTTCCCCTTCTGTTTCATAAAAGCACGTCCCCAATCTTTGTCCGATATCTCTATAGCAGACGTTCTCTAGAAGGTTCCCACATGCAGTAACCATATGGAGGTCCGAGGAGCGCTCCGGTATGAATTATTCCGAGGCCGTTTCATGCAAGCCGGGGTAGGGTGAAAGGTTCTCGTAAGAAATGGACAATAAGTCTTACTTTCATTCAGCGAGGTCAAACTTACAGCAGCGCCTTTGGCCAAGGGAAATTCTTCACAAAATATGTGTGAGAGAGGTCACTGGAATAATGCCTCACGACCAAGCACACCACCGTCCCTCACACCGAAGAAAATGTATGTTCACAAACACCGGCTCCATCTTTTGTTCAATGGGGACAAAAACGGCAGTGAGAACTACAGAATGGGGTAATCTTTAATCACCTTCCTTAAAGGGACCATTGAGTGTGTCTGTGTTCCTCTTCTCCTCTGAACTGTCCGTCAGCCTTTTTTGGGAATTTGGGGAGCCATCAAGGATTGACAGGCGGGCCTGCAATGGGGGCGGGCAGAGCAAAAGAGGGGGGGGGGAGGTAAGAGGACATGGGCAGGGGGGATTATGCAAAAAATCTGTCCAAAAATGACTCAAGTGGAACGCTCACTGCTTGACTAGCGTGTGAGAGCGCGTTGGCATGCCGGCGCGTTCCCACAATCCCGTTTTGTTTCGCTCTCTCGTCACAGCGCAGGGCCTGCAGTCCCAAGCCTTTGGGGGGGGGGTGTTGATAAGGTGTGCTGGGCATGAGCTTTCCGAAGAAGGGTATTTTTTTCTCCTTAACAGCTAAAATCCTCTGGGCTAAAACTCACCAGGATTGATTTCGGAATCTGTTTTACTTCCCTTTTGTCCCGTTTCTGTCTTTCCCGTTTTGCATCTGAATCCCACCGTCACACGTCTGAGAGGTGAATGTAAGGCGTGAGCTTTGGCTGACAGCTGACCTCCTTGGCCGCAGTTGGCCTCCCTCTCCGGGACGGCGCCGGGTGTGACCCACATGCGCATTCACTCGGCAGGTGCGGCTTCATGCGGGCCCCCTGGATCTGCCGGCCACGCGAGGGCACCTCGCCCTCCTCTCGGACACTTCTGCTGCGGGAACCTGCTGGATTCCGTCCGTCGGCTCATTCGCATGCGCTGCGCATCCTAGAATCCCATTAAATGCGCTGGACGCCGGCGACAGAACCGAGAACGCTGAGCCGCTCGGAAGAATCATCCGTCAGGCCTCCGCAGCCATGGGAACGCGCCTTTATTTAATTATATTTTGCCAGATTTAATTTCCCTTGATAAGGACTATGCAGGTGACAGCTAATTGATTAAATTAAGCTCAAAGAGAAAATGGATTCCTAAATATTTCAGAGCAAAAAAAAAGAAAAAAACAGGTTTTGTTGCTGGTTTTAAAATTACCCCCCGAACATAATTGCAAAGGGTTCAGCTGCTGACAGTGCAGCATTAATTTTATTGGACATTCTGATGCACTTGCAAGCAAAAGAAATACAGGCTTCCCAGGGTACAAGGGCTCTGAAACTGAGGGGGGGGGTCCCGCCCGGCTGCTCCGCTCCTTTCCCAACGTCCTCAAACCCGGTACCTTTTCTCGGCCGCTTTTGTGTCCCGGAAGGAAAAAATGGGCCAATTTATTATGTCTCCCAGATGTGCCTGATTCTTCAGCTGGGGGGGGGTGGGGGGTACAGGCTGTTCCTCTGAATTTGAAAGTGAATGGAGGACAGGAAGTATGGAGGTGAATGGGAAGAGGTGAAGAAGAAAAGATGGGCACAGAAAAATGGGCTGCTCCGGTTCTGCTTCAGCTGTCCGGCTCTTGGGGGCCACTCGGTCGCCGGGTTTGACCTCCAGCTGAATCGAGGTATTATCCCGCTTCCAGTGTCTTAGTGCCGTAATGTCGGCAAGTTAAACAGAGCCCAGGATGGCGGGGTCACCCGAGTGCCCCCCTCATGCATGAGATCAACGCCCCGGACGGAAGAACCGGACGTTGCATCATAGCAAAATACATCATAGGCTGCAGCTATGCAAACGACGGCAGCATGCACCATGCGCCATGCACCTCTCATGGCCGTGATGCCTGCATATGGTTCATTTTCCTTTTCAAAACTTTAAAATTAAAGAATTTGTTTGGCTCTTTGAGGCATAATGTTCAGTCACTTCTGTCCTGCCAGGCCTTTTTAGCAGTCATTCCTACACCCTCTCGGATTGCTCCAGCTCCGTTTACCCGTTTCATCTCTCTCCCGTGAAATTTCGCCGGGTTCCAAGGGGTTCCTCAATCGGCCGGAGGTCTCCTAAGCTCTAGAAGGTTCTGACGGTGGCTCTTCTCAGCATAAATGCCTCCTTTTCATCCTGGCATCACCGGCAGTGAGAGACCATCGCGCCGCCCCCGCTACCGACCTGAGGGCCGCCGCTGACTTGCCAACGTGCTGCGTCGGTTCTGAGCCAATCGTGACGCTTAATGACGCCACCCAGAAGTTACAGGCCGCCCTCGCACCACGGCGACACCTGACAGGTCACCGCGGGGTACCCTGGCTGAGGTTTCGTTAAAATGAGCTCGGGGATTTTTGGTGACAGGTACCGTCGTGTCGCCCCTTCACCCACGGCGCCACCTGCTTTTGTTTGCGAATCTCTCCATCTCTCGCCGCCGTTGGCCTCTCACCCCTGTCTACCTCCCCCCGTACGCGGCAGCTCTCGGTGACTGCCTGGCATGGGGGCTGCCCAAACCCCGGCACATACCATCCACACCTCCCTGATTAAGCATCCCGGAACAGTGATCTTTTTGTGCCCTTTTCCTGATTTTTGCTCCTCGGTGACTTTTATCCCTCATTAGCTTTTAAAACTCCCCGGGCTCCTTGCCTGGGGGTCGACTTCATATTCATTACCTGACCAAAGCAGCACAGCACCACAGAAAGAGCCACACAGACCTTTCAATATTCTCAGCTACTTAAAATAACTAAATGAAACAGGCTTGCCACAGTGTCTTGATCTGCTCATTTGTCTGTTCTTGCTTATTGTCTTATTTACACACCAATTTTTGCTTTGCATGTGGAACAGGGGCTATAATGCACCATAATTCAAACTTCTGCAACTATACATTTTTAAGCAGAAAAATATGAAAATTATGGAGGGATTAAATACATTTGAAAGCAACAAAATTGCACAATTACTTTTATTATTTTATAACTTTGACCTCAATTTCTACCATTCTTCGGTTGCCAGGCGGCATAAAAGCACAGCACAACGACCAGCCGTATCTCAGACGTCCAAGTGCGAATAAACCAGGGCCTTCCTGAATGGGAGATTTCTGTAGTTTATTCATCATATTTCGAGTGGATTTCTTGGAGACGACTTCCACTGGTTCCAGCTGAGCCACTCGATGGCACTCGCTCAACACATCATCTCCTGCACATTTTATTTTATTTTTTATAGGACAGCGAAGCAGCGTTGGTGCTGTTTATCGAATGCAAATGAAATGATGAAAGCGAAAAAAGGCCACACAGCTCCCTGGAACATTTCCGCAAAGATATTACTCTGCAAATTGAAGAAGCACGCAGCTGCCAGTGTGAACATGGGACTGACTGCGCTTTGGGGAGATCGGTGTGCAGAGCTGTATTAACTCACCATTGATTCACAAGATTCCAAACGTTACATTGTCTGTCACTGGTATCTTTATTGCCACTCATACTATGTTCAATTTAATTTTATTCTGAAAAAATCAACAGAACTAAACTGAAAAGTTTGTGTTGTGTGTTTTAAATAAAATGCTAAATACGTTAAAGACAATACACAGCTGGAGTAGACCAGACCCACTTAGAAGAAATCCTTTAAAATAACATCGTTTAGAAAAAATGGGTTTCGTCTCCATCTGGTGGCCAGTTTAGGTCATAACATCACACACCAAATAAACATGACTACCACGAACGATTTCGACATGAAACGATGAGGTAAGAACCGAAGACGGAGCCAAAACAAACACGGCTTACATTTTATTAGAAAAGAGAGAAAGAACAAGATGCATTAAGCACAAGACAGTGTCACCCAAAGGTGTTCATGGTGAGAGGCACAGCCCCTGAGAGTCCAAAAACATAGCACTTTCCAAAGAAATCCAGACATTCTTAATCAAAGCAAAATACATTTGGCCCCATTGTGCAAAGTTACACATGATATGTTTTTTTTTAATCCACAAATGATCTGACGGAATGTGACATCATGGTTAAAAGGTGCAACTGGAATAGTCCTATTCCGTGTCCAAATCAAACATCACACAAACATTTGGCATAATTTTACATTAGATACTTGTTCACTTCTGTCAAGCAAAATACAAAATGGATGATTTTACACCATTCATTTATGTTATACTGACAATTGTATATTGGCACATGAGATACAGCAATTCACTCAAATACCATTTAAATTAAATTGTAACCAATAAGACACAAGCCCAGGGAGGCAGAGAAGAAAGTGTTTATATCCTCCTAAAAAAACATGAAGAGCAACACTAAATGTGGGTGAGGAAACACCCAGAAATGGCCGTCCAGCGGAACTTGCAAGTCAAGTCCATGTTATATCCGCAGCCCAAGGTGAGACCCCCAAGCGAAGACCACGACTCTGAATCAGATCCGGCTACCGGACCCACAATCCCCGACGAAAACACCATCTTTGCACTCAGTGCCACTTTGTAAACATAAAATAAAGGCACGTGTGGAGTCAATGGACATCGTAACTGTACTACAAAACTCTGCCGAGAGACGCAGCCAGACACCACTGCATCCTGATCGTTTGTCTTGCAGTGAGGCTGTGAGCCAAAACCCTGTCTGTGAGCTCGCGGTTCTCCCAGAGCAGGCAGGCAGCCAGGCAGATGCCTTCAGGGATGGTCGGGGGTTCCAGAGGCCATGCCTCGCCTGGCAGCTTCTTCAGCAGTCACCTCCAGTGCCGTGGGACAGTCACACCTAATTAAAATTACAGGCGAACCTCCACCCCGAGATGAGGCACCCGTAATAACAAATAATCCAATTAACAGTGTGGATGGCAGTGTCAAACACCACTGTTTCCCACAGGATTGTGTGCACTGCAGAGGTTGTTTACCAGGGTGGAGGACAGGGGTTCATATCATTGACACTGGATCCCAGAGCCTGTTTAAGGGTCAGCCCCCTGCATTTGGAGAATGGAAAATGCCAGTTGTCTCTTGTCAACATGGAAAGGGAAGTGCATTCTTAATCTAATCAAACGGCTATGCCGATGTTACTGCTCACTTCTAGCTGCAGACTTGCAGAAAGTCACACGGTTAAGGGCCCCAACAGAGCTCCCCCTCATCAGCTACCCAGCACCACTGCAGATAACCAGCTACATTGTTTAGAACAGGTAACCCGAAAGGTTAAGCTGGTGAAGTGAGTGGAGAACCAAAACTTAACTACAGCATAAATGTGGGGACCGGCGCAAAACGCTTTCAGTGAGAGTCAGTGATCAGGCAGTGGGCCAAAAAAGTGTGTGTGTGTGTGTGTGTGTGTGGGAGGGTGTGCGTGTTACTTCAAAAAGGGGAATCATGCACAAGGAGCTGAGGGGAGCCTGAGCCGTTTTGTGTTTCAAACTCTGAAAATCCATTTTTTTTTCTTGTTCTGTTACAGCTTTCAGACCTACAGAGAAAAACAGGGAGGCTGAACACCAAGACAGCTGCTCGGCATAGCAGTATAAGGAGCTCTCTCGGCCTGAGCAGTGTGTTCAGGAGATCATCAGTATGAAAAGAAAAAAAAAGAAAAAAAAAAAAGGATCAAACCCAGCATCAGCTACACACACAGGCATGCCAAGAGAAAAGACAAGAATACAGAAAACACCTCTCCATGATTTCAAGGGCAAAACAAATCAAAGTAGGCAAGAGTATAATGTCAAAACAGAGAATTTTAAGGCCATGAGATACTGCAAGGGCTGCCCTCTTCCAGAGCTTCAGATGAATCGGCACACATGTTCAACGCAGCAGCTTTGGCACAGGAAACAAACTCCGAAGTCCCCCATTAGCTTGCAGCACCTGAAGAATCATGTAGGCTGCAGCAAAGAGTCACCACGACCTCCACACCCCAGCCGGTGTGGCATGCATGTTAAAGTTGATTATAGAAAAAATATCAGCAATTTTCTTCAGTTATGGGCCGGAAGATGGAGGGAATCTCAAAATCCGGCATTTGTGTTGGACAAGGAAACCAGGGAATGTTTTCATGGCTTTCCAGTCTTCTGAGCAACTTCACCTTTTAACGGCACAAATCATCTGAAAAGGAGGTGAGACAGATGTGCTTTGAGTGTCACATATCCATCTTTGCAGACAGAGAATGATTAAAGATCAGATAAAACCAAAAGATGACAGCAAAAGGACTCTCATGCCTTGTTTTGAGTTCTAGAAGTGTTTGGTTACTTACTTATCTGATTCAGCAGCAGGCAAGATGTCTTTGGAGGTACAGAGAGAAATAGTGTGTGTGTGTGTGTGTGTGTGTGTGTTGGGGGGACTACCACATGCAGGCCAAGGTATGTCATATGGGATAGTGCAAGGTCCAACAAGTTCCATAGCATCCAACAAACAGATCATTCTACAGGGAGATTAATCTATGACTAAGTGTTTAAGTACCGCTGGGAACCTTAAATGGAACCCTAGCTTTTCACACGGCAGCCTCACCTTCTCAGAGCTTTGGCCTCGTAAACTGTCATGTCCTCCTCATCACTCTCCAGGTGTGCAAGCTCCATGTTGTCATCGTAATTCGAAAGAAGGCCATACTTCTTCCGGCGGGTTGAAGTTTTCTTCACCCTTAAGATGACAGGGACATACATTATAAGAGGAGGGAAGGGAAGAGCCCAGGCATCAAGCTACTTCGTCGTCACTTTTGAGAGAACAGTGGCCTGTACTACGAAGCGGGGTTACTGGCTTATCGGCGTAACTTGTCGGATTTAAGGTACCACAGTTTAAATGGACTTCATATTTGTTCATTTACATTTTGTCCAGACGACCTTAAATCCGACAAGTTACCCTGATAAGCCAGTAACCTCGCTTTACAGTACAGGCCACAGGACAATTACTGTGTTATGGGAGCTGGTAAATAAAACCAGTCTATGACTACGGATAGAAACAGCATGCAAAAACAGAATATCCATAATCTGGCAACAGTAATCACACAAATCAAGACAGGGCATAATAAGATGACAGCTAACAGCAACAACAATGGTCTTGTGAGCATATGGTCCCGTTGTTACATCTTAAATAATCTAGTAAATCCTTCAATTATATGACAATGATATAACCATGTGATAAAACTGGTGAAAACATTAAATGTCAATAAGTACTATTACATGGTCATTTGCTATGTAAGAAGCATTACAAAATATTAATCTACAAAATGCAAACCAAGCACAAGGGGAAGTCTTGTCTTACAAAGCATGTAATACACATGTGGGCTTGGCATCACTCACACTGGACTGCAGGGGGTTATTTCACAAAGCAGAATTTTTTTGCTTAGCCAGATAACTTGTTGGATTTAAGGTAGTCTGGGCTAAATGGACTATGTTTTCGTCCAATTAAAAGTAGCTCAGACTACCTTAAATCTGTGAAGTTATCCTGCTTCGTGAAATACTCCATAGGGCTGTAAAGTGACTGTTTAAGGGTCAGGAGCTCAAAGGTTCAAAGAGCGGTACTCTGTACCTTTAAAGTTAACATCAAATAGTTCGGATAAAACGGGAAGGTGCTCAGGCACCCCCAACCCCCTCTTCTGCACGGGCCCGCTATATCTCGGTCTAATACTTTTATAATCAGGCAGTGACACACTGAGTTTTTGTAAAAAAGCCGAAGCTGAATATCGGAAATCGAAATTAATTAGTTACTAAACTAGTACAGATTAGCTCCTCCCCCCCAAAACAAGTATTTATGACCCATAATTTTATATAAATAGATATCAACAACCAGAGCATAACGCAAGACACATGGCAAGTTCACAACTTCGGCGCTGTACCGCTAATGCTCCACCTCGCGCATTAGTTATGCCTTCTTTGGTACAAGAAAGAGATCCAACGCCGATGCCAGACATTTAGCGAAGGTTTTCCACTCACCGGACCGCCCTCACGAGGAAGTAAAGCAGGCCGATAAGCGTGATGCCTGTAAGCACGTAGAGGGCCCGCTGTATCATCGAGCTGTCGATGTCCGGAATTAAGCTTCTTTGGTTCGTGTTCGTGCCGTTCTCCGCCCTCGGAACTTTGGTCATGGCCGAGATGGTGTCGTTATCGCTGCCGTCCGCATCGCCGAGCAGGATCCAGAACGTCCAGGCAGTCTGCGCGACAAGCAGGCATTTCGTACGCCACATGGCTACAGGAAAGGCGGCGAACAGGACAGCGACGTGGAACGAGGAGTAGGAAATTCTAGGAATCAGCTTTGGTGCTGCGAGACACCTTGTCGTAGCGGATGTTTGGCAGAACAGCGCGAGACACTTCCTACTTCCGGAAAGTGGGCGACCGCGCGTCACTCTAAATTGTGACCGTGGGGAAACGATCAGATGACAATCAGTCTAAGCAAAACGTGGCGAGTAGGAGACGCTGCGGATTTTGCACTTGTGGGTCATAGTCGTTTCGATGATCTTTGTCTTCCCATGTCGTGGTGCTTCTTTGTGCTGAGGTGGACCTCAAAAACATGGCTGTATCCCAGCCACAGAAGTAAATATGATTCAAGAAGCGTCTAATATAACTTGAACCAACCAGTCGGGCAAGTATGGAGTGGGAGCTTTTTAGAGACGACTTCATTTGGATAAAGACCAACTGTGCAAATAACATGAAATGAGAACGCTTATGCATTCACGTAAATTAAATTTGATACGACAGGAGGAGTGAGTGTAAACAAGCGACGATATCTGAACCAGGTGTTTTCCCATTTTATATGCCAGAGTAAGGGTTTTCAACCAGAGACCAGCAAATGAAAATAGTTAGGGACACACACTACTGGAGTATGATTTTTTATACATTTCGGGATATTTTTTCAAATTTTACATAAAGTTTCTTCGCAGCCCCCGTTGAAAACACCAGCTGTAACACTTCAACCAGTGCCATTGTAGGAGAGCAGCAAACTCCACAGGGCTGCAGACAGGGTGGAGCTTCATTCTTGTAAATCCACTTACCAGAAAATGGAGGGACGGCTCCCCCACCATGCAGGTGTCAACGGAAATGTCGGCTCCTCGCCGTAGTTAGCCGCTATGCGCATGCTCATTGCGGACTTCGGGTCACGTTTGACAAGCTTTGAAGCGCCGTTTACCGAAGTTTGTCCTGCGTCGTATTTCACATTCGTGTTTTTATAATTTCGAAATCGAAAATTAAATAGAAATAGTTTTGTAGTATTTCACAAGACTGATGATGCGACGATACATGACAAAACCAACTACTGAGGCTTTTAAACATTTCAGGGCCGCAAGTAGGTTGTCGTAAATTTTACATTATGGTGGACAGTTATAAAACTCGAAGAATAAGTACGAAGGGGTTTTAAAAATCTTTAATGCCGTGTAGCACAAACTGTTGTCAGAGTGTCTGACTTTAAAATTCGTTGCACGTACAAAACACAGATATGGCAGTTTTGGTGTCCTCCCCCAACCTAAATCCCTGGTTTCGGAAGTGTCACTTGTAACCAAGCATCACCTGAACAGATAGATTAGGATTTCCCCTTCACTGTGTAAAGCTCCTATTTAAGAGACTGGTGTTTTACAGGCCTAGTAGAGGTCTATCCGTCAGGCTCAGTGACCACATGGGGACCCAGAGACTGCAAATTACATCTCGATACAAGGTTCCTCTGTGCCATTATATCACATTGCAGAAACAATTGTTCTTAAGTCAAAAGTAGTTTAAACCAGGGACAGATTATAGGTTGTGTGGACCCCTGTGCAAAACATTCGCGAGGGCCCCCCCCACCACCACCACAACTCAAGGGCCCTTGGCAGCCAAACGCCCTCCCTCCATGTTTCCATCAGAGGCCCTATAGGGTCAGGGGCCCTTGTAGGCAGAGGATCAAAGAATGTAGGCCCTCTAAAATAGACAAATGAAAATACATTGTTGATAAGCGTTGCAAATTGTTTTGGGCTAGGGGCCCCCTGCACCCCAAGGTCCCCTGGGCAGCGGCCCCGCTGGCCCGGTCCGTAATCCGTCCCTGGTTTAAACCATAACAGAAATGGTTACAAAAGTAAATCTGGACTTTAAAACTAGCCCACATTTAGAGACCCAAGTGTAGTCAGTCCGCACTGTACGCCGATTATATACTTAAGTGTAGAGTAAACGGTTTAGGCAGCTGCGTTCCTGACGCTACAAACTAGATTTCTGGTGAGGTATGCGCCGGCTACCTGTGGCATCAACCCTACGCTGGAATGCAGAATCAGCTTTGATTCTTACTACAAGATCAGGGTGAGAATAAACAAATGGAAAAGGGGGAAGCAGGAACTAGAAATGCAAAAAATGTTAGAGGTCAGTTATGCACAAAATATGGAAGGAAGAAAGGACAAAAAGTGAAAGCAGGAATAAATGAGAGATTTATTGAAGGCACAAGATCCAGGAGTCATTTCAAAACAATGGATGGGCGAGATTACAGAGAAATGCAGATTTTGTTAGAAAATATGTTTTAATTTTTCTTGTAATACAAACTCTTAACAGCTCCATCGTGGTCTGAAAAACCTTAGATGTAATCAAAATATACATTTGTTTTATAGATATAAAACCTGTATTGCTAACCAATCTGTGGTACAAAGGAAAAAGGCCACCCCCCCCCCCCAATCTTGGTTACAACCCATTCTTTCCCTTCACGAAAAATTAAGGGGCACCAGGAAGGGGGAGGACTCGCAGCTTAGGATAATACATTTAAACAGGCTGTGATATGCTGTGTGCTAATCTGCATAAGGTTTGCAATGTCAATATTTCTGGTCATGCCTACGTGTCAACTGAGAAAATGGCCAAGACTCAATCCTAGTCTTAATCCACATTTCAGCATTTTCTGTACAAGTGTCACAGGATGAAACACCATTTAAGGTCTTCTTAGCCATTCAGATAAACCAAAGCATTACGGACACAATCCAAGTCCAGCATCGCAACCAACCAGCTGTCCGACATCCAGGCAGTGGTTGTATAGGTTGACTTGAAGTGGTATAACAGCAGTATATACAAACACTAAGCCTTGAACTAAAGATCCGATACCCAATATGTAGAAAAAGTAAACCAGAGGCAATTCAAAGAGAAAAAATTTAAAACTGCAGATTAAATCAGAGGGAAGCTGGAGTATAACACTTTGGTCCAAGAAAGGATGTCATTCTGAAATATATCAGTTATTGCTGTGCACCAGGCCCACATGTTAAAGCAGTGTTTCCCAACCCGGTCTGCGGGGACCCACAGACAGTCCACATTTTTGCTCCCTCCCAATTCCCTGAGGACTGGGTTGAGAAACACTGCATTAAGGGACTTATTTGCAATTTGTTGGGTAAATACATGGAAAAAAGTAACTGATCCACTGAATTGTATAATAAAAAATAGGAATGTGAAAATTAAGACTCTGGAAAGGGTCACAGTGACCATGGCATTCAAGCCGAATGCGATTACTAAGGCTTTACACTGTGGTATGTACCACTTGGTGTCTGGGGGCTTCTCACTATACCTGGCATCTGCATTTAGATTGTAACATACAATACATAAGCATCTATAATAAAAAAAAAATTGAGCGAATATATGAGAGCAATGCTCTGCGTTAGCCAGGATTGGATAGGTGCACCAGACAACATTAACATGAGGCACTTGTCCCATATATAAAAAAGGACTACAAAGAGAAAACCTCATCCTGAACTATGGGGGAAGGGAAGGGGGGGGAGGAGGAAGTCAGCCACTGGAAACTGAAGGCTACAGAAGCTGGGGCCTTCAACTCGTGTTGAAATTATAGCCCTGTGCGAGTTTCCAATCCATCATTTGCAAATGCCCTTTAACCGAAACTTCAAATGAATTATTGTAATCTTTAGGAATGTCTATGAGGGGGCCATTATTCCCTATAACATGGCCTTTAATTTAAGACTGAGCTTCAGGGCTCTTTTAAGGCAAGCTGAAAATGGTTTGTGCCCACTGGCTGACAGAGCGATTTGCAAAGGATATATTTGGTATTGAGCTGTAGTGTACCACTAAGTGATACAGAAACTGGTTGGGTATTATCACAGGCCATTGAAGACGGAAAAAAAAACCCCAATGTAACTGACACTTCTAAACTACACCTTTGAGAAACACAAGACTTTAAACAAAAGGCAATGTAATAATGCAACCATTGACCTAACTATTACAAGCTACAGTATAGGAATGATAATTGATACAATATTGGATTTGTACAAAACTGATTGCATAAATTTAAAATGGAATGTCCTACATCTATAAGATACAGTAAATACAATAAAGGATAAGACTGATGTACCCCAGTACAGAAGGGATGAAATAAGGGGGGGGGGGGGGAAGGTTGAAATGTTTGAGCACATAGTTATTTAGTTAATAGAACTAAGGAAGGCCCCCACCCCTCACCATAAGGGGGGGGGGGGGGGGGGGGAAGAAAGTTACATTTCATTACCTCAAAATGGCTGCCATTCTCTTCAAAAGTGTAGTCACACAGCATGACATGAAATTCTCTCTCAATTCTAATTAAGCAGTATTGATTTAAGGGGCAGCCATGTGTCAAATTGTCAAATGTGACCTACACCAAAAAAAAAATGGGTGTAGATCAGAAACAAGCAGGGAAAGGGCACATTTTACAATGCCTGCGTGTTTAGCTACGGGAAGATGCCGTGAGATAGTCCCTATGAAGGCACAGAATCAGGAGGGGGCAGGATGCTGAAAGTAGTGGTACAATTCCCCTACAGCCAAAAAAAGAAAAAAGCTTGTCATCACGTGCAACCTGAGTTGAGTGTGGAGATTCTAGGAGATGGCTGGTGTAAACAACCTACTGATCTATACTTTGATCAGACCAATATGCACAAACATGGGACCAAATGAGCTTTTTCAATATAAAAGGGAAACTAAAACATGCTTAAAAGCTCAAATAAAATCTGGTATGTATTTTCTTCCATGCTCCATGATTCAAATTGGCATTGTATTGATACAGATCCATATAAATATCTTAAAGGAATGATGGAAGTGGGTCTTGTGAGGAGCCCCTGGGCTCTAGAGACTTAATCCCACAAGGTCATACATGTGAACCCTAAAAAGTGACAGTTCATCCATCAGCATGTGAGCTCCTCTTGATTATTCCTCCTGTTTCCACGCTTTCAGATGGTGGACTTTGAGAAGGACACCCTCAGGTGGTGATTCTCACCAAGGTCATGGTTGTGGAACTCAATAAGAGACTGAATGGCCTCCTCTACAGATCCCATCTGGATCAAGGCCATTTTGCGATCTTTCCTAAAATGGTTCAAGAGAGAAAGGGTCAGGCCAAGGAAAAATAAACAAGTCTGCATGAAACATGGGGGTGGGAGATCTTACTGGAAGAACTTGAAGGCTTTGACCAAGGCACCAGAACTTGAGAAGAGTATCTTGAGGTCATCTTCAGTCACTGAAGGTCTAGGGGAAGAGAAAAAAAAAAAAAAAAAGTTCTAAAGAAGCCCTTGTCAGGATGAACACAAGCAAAGGAGAACCTGACAACTTACGGGATGTTGGAGAGGTGCAGGGTTGCAGAAGGTGGGAAGATATTCTGATAGTTTTTGGAGCCTGGCTTCTTGAAGCGGTGAAGTGGCGAGTTACTGAAGTCCTTTGTGAGCCCTTGGTCCTCCTGACCTTCACGTGGAAGCTGCACATTTGTGTGCTTGGATAGCGTGACACGGATTGCCTTCCCGTGAAGCTTCTGTCCATTCAGGTGGCTCATAGCTGAGAGAACAAAAAAAGTCATTTTAGTTGAGCCCCCACCCCCCCACCACAGGATACTTAGAAAGGAAGTTAAAGAACATCACTGCCCTCTAGATTGCCACACATATGCACACAGGGGACCAAAGAAAGCTGTCCATCAACAGTTTAGGTCAGATAAACATGAGAACCTTGGGATAGTTACCAAGTTGTGCCTGGGTTCCATCTGCCATCTGTACAAGGGCATTCTCCTTCTTGTTGAACAGAATCTTCACTCTCATGACATCACCATACACACCTTGACAATGTTGGATCGGGTGTGTGTGTGTGGGGGGGGGGGGGGGGGGGGGAGTAGAGTGAACAGTTAGAAACTGGCAGGCATTGTACTGCAAACAATTTCAGCATCTGATAATGCAACATGGTCAAATTAACCACACAACATCCCCACAGGATATGTTAATACTAGCTGGTATATGCACAGCTCTCTTCCTATAAAAGGTCTCTGAATCAAAGTACTAAACAGCACATTAAAATTGCTGAGCACCTAAACCTTTGCAATGCCGATACAAGTACCCCATCCTGCTACAGCCATAAGTTAAATAGCTGAATGCTAAGGAAGACGAGCCAACATTACATGTTAACGTACAGACTAGACACTGCAATACTTAAAAGGAGGGGGGAAGCACACCAGTCGTCTTAAGACATGAACATATTCCCTCCCACATAGGTCTTTTTGCTTATAAAAAGGGAATCTAATAGTTTATGCAGAACCATATGTAAGGGCATTAAGACCAAATCAGAATAACTGATTTCAGCCAAATTCAACTAAATGCATTGTAAGATTTGCCTAGTATTTTAAAAAACCTACAATAAAGCATGCAAAACATGCAGATTTACAGTATGACTAAAGTATAATAAACTTTAATGGCAAATTAATGTTGAGGCAAAAAGCTACAGCATCTTATGGGAGAAAATGCATCGTTTTTTGTATAATTTGGCGGCAGCAACTAACCCACAAAGGGTTTGCTACCTTCTACAAATGACATTTCAGACAGATCAGTAAATGCTGCAGCTTTTTGCCCAATTGTGGTTGTAAGAAACACGCAACACAAAAACCCAAAGCAGCACTCATAAGGCTTTAAAAATGAACTGTAACAAACAAGTAATAAAAAAGATGCTAATGATAACATACCGAAAAGAATAAAGAGGCATTGGGGCGTAACTCTCTTTATAAGACAGCAGAAGAAGGCAGCGGAGGGAGGAAGGGACAGGAAAAGATCGGAGGCAGGAGAGTGCAGGTTCAACATATCATCCACAGCGAGGCAGTTCCACGGGGAATGGCCAAGAACGGCGGTCGGATCATGAAGACGGTTAATATTTTGGAGTAGAAGGTTCAGGGTTTGGGGTATGGGCATCCAGGGAGGTGGGAGGGGCAGTGTGTATATTTAACAGTTTGTTGTCGCAGTATTCCAGAGTTGTTGGACAATTGTACACAGAAAAGCACATGGGAGGGCAAATAAATGGGCGTGCAGTCAGTCGGCAAAAGAATCCAGGTCAAGGTACACAAAAAACACAAAAACAAAAAAAGGGAGGGAGAGGGGGAATGGGGAGGGAGAGAAACAAGGAGGAGGTAAAAAAAACAAGGTCAGTATACAAAGAAATGTAGTGTTCCATTCCTGTAGAGTTTCTGCTTCTAAATGGTTTAAATGATAATGGTTTTTAAACCTCGAACACTACTGAGGAAGGGGAAAGGGGGAAACCAAAATAAACTTAAACATGATGACACAGATGCTGAGACAATATGTACTTGTAAAACTGTTAGTACTATAATTAGATCAGTGAGACTCACTTCACTACTTTAGCACTGCAGAACATATATGATAATGGGAGATTAAGAATTGCATTTGGATTCCAGTATACAAGACAGACGGGTGCCGAGTGCCAAGTGTATTGGATGCAAAAAAGAGAACAAACATTAAAAAAACCAAAATCAATCTGAGACAAAACACAAGCTGGGGCTATGAATGACACCTAAAAGGTAAGACAGATTAGGTAGTGTCTGTCCGTCTTTAAGGACGGTCCCAGATCAGAGGGCGTGGCTCCAATTGGTTTGGCTTAACTTTTTTTTTTTTTTTTTTTTTAATCCATTACCACAGTGGAAAGGCAATGGTAATATGCAGGCAGCCTGCAGTGGGAGGTATTAAAAAGAAAAATACTGCATAAACAAAATGTACCGAGTTACAAAAAAGTGGCACATTTCAAATTCTCCAAATGCAATTTTCATTAACTTTTGTGACTTGTCACGTGAAGTAGCCCTAAGTGCATGTTAAAATCCTCAGCTTAAAATTTGGTGGAACCATGCCTCAAGAAATTGGAAAAAAAGAACGGTACAATAAGAGAACAGGGAGCAAAGAAAAAAATTAAGGGGAAAAAATGCCACAAAAGCTTGGTTTTAAAAAAAGATCGAGGAACTGCAACTGGAGGAAGGGAGTGAGGAGACACTAATACTTCAACATAAACCTCAGCGATGGCAGGCGGGTCCAATCGCAGGGATCTTCCTGGGTATACCTAACTCCACTGTGTGCACCTACAGCTGTTAATCTATTCAACATACACCAAGCCCACTTCTAGTGAAGTCTACAGCCCAATCAATGCTGACCTACACAAGCTAAAACATGTAGCAGGCTCTCTAATCCCACACTGAAGATGGAGGATTAGTACTGACCTCGGGGTTGAGGTTGCTGACAAGCAGGACACAGTGGCCAGCAGTGAGACCAGAGAAGCCGAGGCGACCAGCAGCTGCAGCTGCTGCCGCCGCGGCCCCGGGGATGGCCAGTGAGGCCAGGGCACTGGGAACGCCGGGCACTGAGAGACCTGGGGGACACGGATCAAATCAGGGCTTTCAGGGTCAGAGGGAGGGGCAGCTCTAAAAGCCACTGTGATGTCAGAGGAACACCGGCCTGACCTGTCGCCTGCTGAATGGCAAAGGCAGGAGGAAAGCCATGAGCTCCTGTGTAGGGGTTTGCAGAGATAATGCCTGGAGCACCTGTAAGACAGAGCACTGTCAGGAACGGCAGGAGCACTGCGAGCGGAGACACTGCGAGCGGAGACACTGCGAGCGGAGCTCACCGAAGGCGGCAGCGGCCATGGCCTGGTGCTCGATGGAGGGCTGGCTGTCTCCGGAGGGCAGGTCGGGCCGTGTGTAATCCCGGCTCTTGTCGTTGTTGTATTTCACGTTAAGGCTGGTCAGTTTTGAGAAATTGATGCGCAGGGTGCAGCAGGCGTTGTATATGTTTTGCCCATCGAGAGACTGGGTGCACAGAACGGGTTAAAATGGGTCTTTACTGAGACCCAAATCGAGAATTCCGGAGGATATGGAAAAAGCCACACTAGTGTTTTAGTAATACAGACGAAAGTAGAGGGCGCTACTCACCATTTTAGCATGTTGAGCAAGCAGGCCATCTGAATATTGGAGCAGGGCTTGGAACTGGTTGTTTTTGGTAAATGTGATTATCTTCAACACGGTCCCAAATTTGGAAAAAATCTGAAAACGATTAAGATGTAGTAAGACTGCACCAGCCTGCTTAACTGCTTCCTGTTCGTACAGAGGCAAGAGGAGCAGTGCCTCAGACCCCCCCCCAGAACAAGGGCTCCCCCTGGTGCTAAAAGCAGGCAGGATATTGCAGATTATACCCTTTCATTACACAGTGAAACTGACAAACCACAGCATTGCATTTACAAAGAATGCCCTCAAGAAATATTTAAATTTCAGCCTCTATTTCTGAGGTGCATGTTCCTTTTAGAGCAGTTCTGATCAAGAGCACCAGGACCAGTGACATACCTCACCAGTTAGCTAGCACACTCATTTATTTCTCCAAAGCAATTGTTTGTTTTTGATCAGTGGCAGAGAAGAGGGATAAAGGACATTAGATCTCTCCGCTTGCACACAAACCCCAGATGTATAAAACAATTAACACTTGCTTAAAGGTGTTAGACTTCTTCCAGTGTCTTAAAATTCCAGTAAGAGTTCTCCTATGGTTTTCCCATGCTCAACAAGCCAGGCAGGACGAGCGGCTGACAGCAGGCAGCGAGACCGATGGAGCCATACCTGATGCAACACATCCAGTGTGACCGGGTAGAAGAGATTCTCCACGATGATGCGCAGGACAGGGCTGGGGCTCCCCAAGGCAGAGGGGTCCACACTGGCCATGGTCATGTTCCCCGTCTGGACGGCATTAACCGCCTGCAGCGCGGCCTGTGCCCTCTGAAGAAAGACAGGCAGGCAGGACGAGCACTTAATGAACAGCTAAGACATGTTTGCTGTAAAAGGACCGGACTGAGTAAAGCGAGAGAAAACAAGGAAACCCATTTACGCAGTGCTGTTAATGCCAATTGTTCAGCTTGATTTGAGTACATCATGGCATAGACAATGCATCTGTCTCACACTGGAAAAAAACCCACCACACTGTGGCAGAGGCTCCCATTGAATTCACAAACAAACACACTGCAGGTGTATAAGGTTATGAGCAGATTTAAAAGTCCTGAAGTACAGGCCTGGCAAACCTCTCATGTGGGGATGGGTAAGGAGGAGGAAAAAGGTTATGCTGGGAAAATGGGAGCCATTTTTACAGTGCTAATATATAGGGACTATCGAACAGACACAGGCATACAATTACTGTGCTAAAGTGGAACACAGAGGGCTGATATGCTAATGTGTGGCATCCATTACAGGCTTCAGATGGCTTGCCAAACAGCATCCAAAAATATTTTTACTTTAGTGAGACAAGCACAAAATTCACCCGCAGCCGGGGTTTTCCCAGTTCAGTGAAAGCTGAAAATCCCTATGAAAACACCAGGATTTTTTTTTGACAATTGTAACACCCAGTAGTCACAAATTGGTTTTTGAACTTTAAAAAATTAGCTCACATCAGGTAACATCAAGGCATTTTAAACACCGGTGCCACCTTGTCCTCGGAACCAAAAGTACTTTTTAAAAAATAAATAAAAAAATCAGTGGGGTGGGGGGGAGCAAACACACACAGACCAGCCGATACATTAGGCTACAGGTTGGAGACAGCTTGGTAAGGCCGTTAAGGTCCGATATAGGCTAACCTAATACACATCTGGCACCCGCACACACTCTGTGGAAACATCACTCATGTGGGATATTATCGGTGGGTCGATCAGGCTCACCACTTGATTGGGTGAATTGTCTGTCTTGAGCTCCTTGTGGTTTGAGTACTGCATGAATATGGGGTGGTTCCTGATGACTGGTGTGACAGAGGAGTAGTAGGTGACCATTGTCTGTGCAGCTTCTTCTGTGTTCATTTCAATGAAGGCCTAGGGAGAGACGGCAAGGTCATACATAAGCAGCGGCATGGGCTCCGGCACTGATCTTAGGCACAGTGACACGGGTCACTCCTGCAAATACCTGGTTCTTTCCTTTGAGCATGAGCAGGTTGGTCACTTTGCCAAAGGGCAGCCCCAGGGATATCACTTCAGCTTCGTTGATGTCATTAGGCAGCTTCCGCACATGTATGACGCGTGACGGAATGCCGGGGCTCCGGATGTCACCTTTGAATTTTTTGCTGTCATTGCCATTAGCTGAACACACAAAAATGGCAGAGATTAAAATCAGCCCTCAACACCCACTGATAAGAATACAAAATCAGGAAAGGTGACGCGCTGACCTGCTCCAGACGAATTGCTCATGATATAGGGTCCGTTAGAGACGCAAGAGGAAAAGAGTTCGTCAGATCCTCTCTGTAAATGACAGGAAATGAATGCCACCATGACCATCAAATCATAAAATTACAGCAAGAGGGATGTCAGAAATTCAAACAAGCAGCTTTCAGAAAGCAATTTATACCTGAAACAGTCCTAACAAGACCACACTACCACAGACATTTATCAAAACTGAAAAAACGATGCATTGCAGCTGTATCATTTCAACCAGCAGAGTTTGAATTTCCTGACCCATATCATCTGAAACAATCCTATAATACAAGTTAACCCTGTGTTGTATGCAGGCTAGACACGAATGGGTGAATGTGTCCAGGTTACTATTTAATACATTGAAACAGTATTGACATGCATCTCCAAAAATGTCTGGTGGTGCAGAATAATACTATGTTAGGCATAATTGTGTTTGAAAAAGTTGCTAAACACTGGTTTTAAGCCTTAACAAAAATTAAAATATTTACTGAAGATATCAGGTGGCACAACTGAGAAAAGGAGTTTTAAAATAAAAAAAAAAATTAAAACCTGGACATTACATCAAAGACAATCTTTATGGTGCAATGAAAAGACGCTAGATCTGACTCTCGTTGACAAAAAGACTACCATTTAAATCTAAGGGTTCCGCTTGCACAGTTTCCGTATCAGGTGGTACAATCCAAGGAAAACCAACAATTACAATTCTAAAGTTTCATCATATTGCAT